GCTAAGAAACATCTCAAAAAGTGTTCAACATCATTAGTAATTAAGGAAATGCAAATTAAAACCACCCTAAGGTATCACCTTACCCCAATCAGACTGGCTAGGATCAAGAGAACAAATGATATCAAATGCTGGTGAGGATGGGGAGAAAGGAGAACGTTCATTCACTGATGGTGGGATTGCAAATTTGTACAACTCCTATGGAAAACAGTGGAGAATTCTTAAAAAACTAAAAATGAACCTACCATATGACCCAGTTATACCACTCCTTGGCATATACCCAAAGAACTCATCCTATTGTAGAGACACTTGTACAACCATGTTTGTTGCTGCTCTTTTCACAATAGCTAAGAGATGGAAGCAACCTAAGTGTCCCTCAACTGACAAGCAGTTAACAAAAATGTGGTATATTTACACAATGGAGTTCTATTCAGCAGTGAAGAAAGAAGAAATAATGAAATTTGCAGGTAAATGGATGGATCTAGAAACTGTTATACTAAGTGAAGTAACACAGACTCAGAAAAAAAAATAATCGACGTATATTCTCCCTCATACGTGGCTCCCAGCACCAAATCCTTTTAAATTCCAGTCCTTTTAATAAGATGATGCTATATAGAAGTCCCTTCTGCATGAAATAACTACCATTGCTAAACACAGTCACAATTGGGCTTGTTGATGGTTGTGCTCATTCATTAAAGGAATGCCAAGTAGGGTCATTCGACCCTTACCGGAGTATCCAGCCACTCTTCCAGCCAACTAGTCCAGCCTTGGAAGACAAAAGAAAAATGAGGAATAACCCAACAGAGGGATGCTTTTGGAAGCACTTGTCAAGAAACTCCACTGGACTCTCATATGAACATTTGAAAATTGCCCTGTTCTTTTTTCTAGATCCCTGTCTAGAACTTGTAATGCTAATTACTCTTGCTTCATGATTCAAGGACTTTCTTCTCCCCTTAGAGACAAAAGTTATAAAATTTGGGAATCTTTTTTTTTGGGGGGGGGGAGTCTTTTAGATAGACCCACTGAAGGGGTACTCTAATTGTCTCACCCTGCGTCCCTGTTCAGCATGGAAGAAGCCAGAGCAGTCTGCATCCCTATTCCCTATTGGCAATTTGGGTAACCCCTTCAGAGGATGGCATGGTAAGAATAGGAGGTAGGAATTGGCTAGGCAGTTAGGGTAAAAAGACGCCAAAGAAAAGTAGCCAGTTTCTTGGTTAAAAGTCAAAATGTCCTTGGGCCTCTAAGCAACATACTCTGTTCCAAAAGCCAAAAATGTAAAAGCATTTGGGAGCTTGTATCTAATCCTTAAAAGATTTTAGGGTTACCTCTTCAGAGGGGGGACTGCTGGAGGGGAGGGAGTGGGCATGGGTTTGATCAAAACACCTAAAATATATGTATGAAATTCTCAATATTGTAAAAATTTAAAAAAATGTATTATTTCCCTTCACAACACCTGTGCCATCACATTCAACAGGGGACTCATAAATACCGCCTGCTAAATTAGGCAGCCAATTCCCAAAGCCATTCCTTTCTTTAAAAGAAAAGGCTAACGTGACTGTTTTAGTCTAAGATGGCTGTCCACTCTGACGCCCCACTATGTTTCCTCTCCTGCCCTCCGCCTAGCCACACTGTCCTGTCGTCATGTCACTTAGCTGCCGCACCACTGTTACTGCCCAAGCTTTGCTGGCACCTTGGAGCCTTCAGCTCTGAGCTCATACTTTCGAGATGCTGTCATGGAGCACGCTGTGGCGGATGCTCCCTCAGTTATGCTTCCTTGTGTTCTTCCTTCTAAGCACATCCCAGGACAGACTCACTTCTGCCAGTGTTGCTCCAGCTGGAGTGGGAATCTGCAAACCAGAACATCCGAGACCTCTTCCTCCAGGACATCCTACCAGCCAGGGCTTGGGGAAGGGCTTCACCAAAAGCTGCGAACTTGGTTGTCAGAGGGAGTAATCCATGACAGGGCCTAAGCACACCCAAGCCAAGTAAACAGTCAGGAGTGGCTGGTAACCATGACACTACACTAAACGCCAGGCTTTACAAGGGCCAAAAGAGCAACAAAGAGGCCAAGGTCCTGGGCAGCACCGGCTACGAACGCCGTCATCAGGTGTCTCCGGGAGTGGGCTAAGATGGCTTGCTGTCACAAGATGTACATCCCTCACATGAGCACATGTGGGGTCATGCAGTGGCGATCAAGACCCTCCAAAGCTCCTAGTGCGGTGGGGAAACTGACACAGAAATACACAGCTCTGCTATGATCAGACCAGGGAGCTAGCAAGGTACTCAGGGAGTGGGAAGGAGGGTTAACGACAGGGTATGCAGAGCAAGGCTCAGGAGCAGGGCCCACCGGGCTGACAAGTCAGACAGTAACCCAGTGTCCAGAAGAGAGGCACAGCCAGGGATGGGAATGGGGGAGGCAGGCCCAGGAACAGCCAAGTCTGTTGAGTCTGTACTGAAGCAGCGAAGAGCCGGGGGGGAGAAGGCAACTTACTAGATCCGTGTTCCAGAGGAACTTAGGGATGTGATGACAAACGGACACTGCTGATTCCCTCAGCCACCAAGAAGGGACAAATGTGGTGTGGCGGGAACTCACCGTGTGGCAAACGTCAGCTTTTATCTCTTTCAAGGCACGTTCGGAAAACACACAACCGCAGCACCGAAGGAAGCAAAACCTGGGGAGACCAAGGTGGAGAAAGGCTTGAGCAAGCACCGAAACCAATGCTCACATCAGCTTACACAGAGGTACAGGGTGCGTTTCACCTTATTAGGATGCCAGGGGCGGGGCACAGCCAGGCAGAGGGGCTCTTGTCTAGCAAGTGCAAGAATGGGAGCTCAAGGAGGCGACACTTCAAGTGTGTGCTAGGCACAGGAGCATTCTTGGAATACTGGGAGGACTCTAACAATGTAGTGACAATGTAAGAGAAGGTGGAAACCAGGCCTAGCAGGAGGGCCGTAATCCCAGTCTGAGGCAGGAGGACCAAAGGTTCAAGGACTGCTGGGGTTACAAGGGAGTCCATTGCTACCCTGGGCAACTTAGTGAGATCCCATCTCAAAATAAAAAGTAAAAACAAGCTAGAGGTGACTCAGTGATTAAGAGCACTTGTTCTTGCAGAGGACCTAGGTTCAGTTCCCAGCATCCACATGGTGGTTTACAACTGCCAGTAACTCCAGCTCCAGGGGATCTGACACCTTCTTCTGGCCTCCTTGGGCAATTGCACTCACATATGCACAAACATACAGAGACACACATTCACATAAATAAAAACAAAATTATGTCATATGACTTTATTTTTAAAAATATTTTACTATTTTTGTTTCATGTGTATGAGTACACTGCCTGTATGTATGTAAGTGCACCCATGTCGTGCAATGTCCCCAGAGGTCAGAAGAGGGTGCTGGATCCCCTGGAACTGGAGTTACAGAGGGTTGTTGGCTGCCATGTGGGTGCTGGAATCAAACCCAGGTCCTCTGTAAGAGCAGCCAGTGTTCTTAACCACTGAGCTATCTCTCCAGCCCCCTATATCATGTGACTTTCACTTTTCTTCATATATATGAGGATAAACTGGGACAAGGTTAGGTAAGTAAGCCTGCATGCTTCCAGAGAATATTTTTTCCTTGATCCAACGACTGAGGACTGAGAGATTCCTAAATGGTTTAATTTCAGACACTTTACACAAGAAGATAATCTCTCTCTCTCTCTCTCTCTCTTTTTTTTTTTTTTTTTTTTTTTTTTTTTTTGGTCTTTTTGAGACAGGGTCTCCCTGTAGCCCCAGCTGGCCTGGAACTATGTAGACCAGGCTAGTCTTGAACTCACAGAGATCCGCCTGCCTCTGCCTCCCAAGTGATCAGATTAAAGGTGTTCACCACCACGCCTGGCAGAAGAAGATAATCCTTAAAGGCACAAGTCAGACTACTGAGACAGCTCAGTGGGCTAAGGCCACACAACTCTGACAACTTGGGTTTGATCCTCAGAATCTATGTAAAAGTAGGAGATTCTAACTCACAAAGTTGTCTTTTGACCTCTATATACACGTGTGGCAGGCACATTCCCTCCCACATAACACATATACATACACACAATAATAAAATAAATCGATTTCTTCTTTTTAAAATTTTATTTACTTATTGCTTTATTTTATGTGTATAGATATATTGCCTGCATAGTTCTAAGTATACCTGTGTCTTGCAATGCCCATGGAGGTCAGAAGAAAGCATCAGATTCCCTGGAACTGGAGTTACCAACAGTTGTTAGCCACCATGTGGGTGCTAGGAATCGAACGTGGGTCTTCTGCAAGAGCGGCCAGTGCTCTTAACTGCTGAGCCATGTCTCCAGCCCCAATAAACCAATTTCTTAAAAGAAGTCCCTGGGTCTTATGTTCTCCTTCTGTCTAATCATGAGGCTCCAGGCTGTCACAGTCAGAGTGCGAAATCACACTCTGTACACTGCTGCACATGACAAGCTCCCCGCATGGCAGCTGCCTGAGCATCCACAATAGTGTAAGAACACCAGAGAGCCCACACGGGTGCTTTGATGCAAGATGCCTTCTCCGCTGTCACATGCAAACAGTAAAAATATTGCCTTCCAATGTGTCTCAGGTTACAGGTGGAGGGTAGTCTGGACTATCTCTTATTAAAGATTCTAAACAATGGGGAAAGGCCCACACACCTTTGCAAAGTGAGACATCTTACAAGGCACACACGAGCCCAGGTCACTTGTTTACAATGTAAATCTCAACCCCAAGATTTCCTCTTCTTAGAGGCTGTGTGTGCAAAGCAGGTTATGGTTATCAGCTGGGGCTCTGGCTCACCATCGCCACACTCTAACAAGGTTTGCTGCTGCATAAACTTGGGTGATCCTAAGGAATGGGAGTTGTTTCATGGAACGAGCTGTCCTTGCTTTCTGTTCCCTAAGAAAAGACAGTCAAAGAACCAAGCTCAGGGCTCTTAAGTGTCACCTGAGAACTTTTTCAAGCCCCACATTTCTGTCCTAACGTGCAGAGCAGAGATCAGAGCCACAGGCGGAGCAGAGCTGGCAGTGCCATGGCCACTGGCGAAGGGGCCCATTGCGACTGGGCGGTTTTCTCCACGGCGCTGTGTGAGCCCCAGGACCCAGGAAAACCCTAAAGAGAGCAGGCCAGCTTGCCCATCCCATGTTACCACTCACCGGTGTCGCCCGTTCATCTCCAGTCCCACAACAGGGCAGATGAAACGTGCTCGCTGGAGGTCATCATGCCTGTCACCCTTAGTGTTTCCTCTGCCCCCTTCCCAGGCGGGGTTATCAGAGAGCTTCAGTTCCGTCACGTTCTGTGAAAAACCATCAATAATGCCGATGAGACTGATGTGAAAGCAAACCCAACATCCCGAACCCACAGAGCACTGCAACTCAGCCACAGGCCATTGCTGGCATGGAATCAAGGAGTGATTTCTACTGAAAGCCCATCACTTTTGCACCCCCAAAAAGAAAAAACAAAAACCACAAGTTAAATCAACCTAAGTCAGAGATTGTGCATTAAGTATGTACTTTCCATTTTACAAATATTTTGCACTTTAAGGAAAAGTTCTCCTATCAAAAAAGTAGTGCACTAAGAGAAAGCTTAGGTCCATCAAGAAAGGGCTGCTTCTCTCGACAGACCCTCACTGGGGCTGCTCCACAGCACTAACCTCCCACATTTGCATAACCATAAAGTCTGAGGGGCCACAACCTGATGGCTTGTTTCAACCAGAAAACAGTCCTATTCCAAGACACCGATGTTTAGGTTTTCAGAATTCCACTTTAGGGGCTGACAAGGTGGCTCAGTGGGTAAAGGCACTTGCTGCCAAGCCTAATGACCTAGGACCTACATGGTGAAAGGAGAACTTAGTCCCACAGGTTGCCCTCTAACCTCCATAAGCATGATGTGGCATATGTACATATGTGCACATACACACACCCAAAATAAATAAGATGTAATGAAAACTTTTTAAAAAATAATTCTAGGGCTCTCTCTGACCTGCAGGCCTCTCTCCGGGGTAAGTCCATCACACCCTCCGCGCCTTGACTCCCCCAGCCTCATTCACACACCCCTGCCCCCGTCTCTCCCCCTAGCCTGGGTCCTGTCCCATTCCTTGTCTTGAGGCCCCAGACACCTGGGGAACCACTACTGCTTACTGATCCTCTTCATCCAGACCAACTCAGTGCCTTTTCTGGTCCCTGGGAGCACTGCTTCTGGGTCTAGCCCCACCCTCACCTCCCTCTACTTCCCTGGGCCTGTACCACCCTCCAGCCTCTTTCCGGGACACAGAGGCCAACCTTTCTTCTTCCTGATCCTTTGCATCCAGACCAACCCAGCTCCTCAGTGCAGTCCCCAGGAGTCCTTGGGGCCTCTTCCCGCCCCATCTGCCTTTGCATCTCTGGGTGGCATGGCCACCAGCTGCCTAGGCCAGCATCTTTCTAGGGCCCAGCTCCCAGGCCAGTCCAACTCCCAAATTCCTGAGGCCAAATCTTTCCTGGAGGGATCCAGACCTTAGGAGAATGCCTTTGCATCTGGGTGGCATGGCCACCAGCTGCCTAGGCCAGCATCTTTCTAGGGCCCAGCTCCCAGGCCAGTCCAACTCCCAAATTCTCCAGGCCAAAATCATTCCTAGAGGGATCCAGACCTGAGGAGAAAGCCTGAAAACATCTTACCCTCATCTGAATTGGGCCTCTGTGGGAAATCCTGAAGACAAAATCAATCCGGTTACTTCAAT